TACAAGATGGGTTTTACAGTGCCATGGGATTTTCCGTTGGTCATTGTCTTCCTGTGTCCTTGATTATGAAGGTGCTTCTGAAAATTTGGACAGTGCTTTCCACCTGCCAAGGAGGCCTTGGTTTTTGCTGCTCCTCTAGATGTCATCAGCACCACCAATCCAATTTCTGATCAAATGAGATCTTTTATGCCAATGTCAATGGCAGCACCCCAATCCAATGAGATTACTTTTAACAGCCTGGCTATTGAATTGGCCAAACTAGAGGTGCAGTAAGTTTCATTCGAGGTGGTTCAGACTTTAGTGAAGGCCAAGAGATCATCAATGATACATAAGAGAGGATATGAAGGAGGATATAAATACTGTATAATAATAATAATGAAGGAAGTTTGTATTGTTTGCTCAGCAAATTATTTCTCTCCTGTGTCCCCAGCTTTAGCCAATATCCTGGACATTTTTACAATCAGTGCTAGAGGTTGTTCTGGCATATAACATTAAATTTCAGATCTCTGCTTTATCCGCAGGATACAGATGGGCGGAAGAGCCATTGAGCAGATGCTTCATGCAGGCGATAATCCATATACGACTCCCAAGAGAATCATTTTACCTTTCATAGGACTTAGGATTGATTCTGAAATCACTGATGCTGGCACCCTATGCTCCAGTAGCTTCATTTCCATTGAGGTTCCTCATGATAAACTAGTTCTTCTGATAGCAATTGCTTCAGACAGAAGGATGTTGCAGATTGCAGCACTTTCCTGCAAAGATCCCTTTTGTGTCTATTTATCAGACATAGGGATACTACATCTATCTCCGAAGCTCAATTCTAAACTGGTATCCAGTTTCCAGGAACTTTCGCACAAGAGTCACTAAGCAGGGAGACTTCAGTTCCTTACACATGGTCAAGTTATTAACAGTGTACTTGCAAAGGTCTAAAGACGGGAGAAAAGTGTGTAAATAGGCCAGGAAAGGAAAATTACATTAAGTATCTGATAATATTCCGTTATATTTGTTTCACTTGTATGTTTCACCTGTATAATGCTTTATTAAGTGTGTGGCACTTTTAATGGATATGGTATTATGAGAAGCGCTTCACCTGTTTGGTATTTTGTCTAATTTACATATTGGAGGTGGACTGCTGGCCGGAGACCTGTGAACAGCCCCTAACTGTGGAGTGAAATAAACTGCTCTTGCCGATCTGTTAGTTAAGAAAGGCATGTACAGCATATTTGGTGAGTGATTTTCCTATTGGGAATGGGTTACGGCACAAGGAGTGTTTGAATTAAGAAGGAGAATAAATAGTGCTCTGCACATGGAACACTTCCTTAAAGTGGAGTTCACTCACACTGTAAAAAAATAAAGTCAGCAGCTACAAAAAATTGTAGATGCTGACTTTTAAAAAACAGCCACTCACCTGTCCCACGATCCCACGGTGTTCTCCCCGCAGCCCATTTCAACAGCCGTCTGGTGTTCCAGGTGCCGGCATCTTCAGTGTGGGCCACCCGGCTATGACAGCTTGCGGCTTCACAGCCGGGTGCCCACTGTGCATGCTTGAGTACTGCTGAGCTTCTTGAATGGCTCCATAGTCCTCTGGGACCTGTCACGTGACCCCGAAGACTACAAGGAGGGAGGGTAGGAGGACAACTTCCGCTTCCGATCGCCTATACGATCACAGCAGAAGTGGGAGCGGGTACCTGTCAAATTCAGGTACCCGCTCCCCCCCCCCACTCGCCAAAGGTGCCTATCCTTAATGGGGAGCGGGGGACCAGTCTTTAAAGCGGAACTTCCCCTTTTGGGTGGAGCTCTGCCTTAAGAACTGGATGTGATGTGTTGGATTCACTTTTTTGATTTATGAATTGAAATGTTTTTTCATTTTATTTGGGCATACAGTACTTATGAATCTGCACTGAATATTAGATATGTTGAGGTTAATGACATAGGATTAAGTAACTATACACTTTTTATATATATAAATATATATATATATGCGCAAGATGAATATTGCAATTCATAAAATATATTTATTGCTTTAACATATTTACTGCAGCAGTAGGTGGTGTTTATTTTGGTAAATAGGAATAATGTTGATTTTGGAAACAGGTGATTTTTTTTTTAGAGAGAAAAATAAAACTTTTTTTATTGCTTTTCGTGTGAAGTGGTGGAATTATACCTGTTGATCGCATGAACAGGTGGAGGAGGAGCTCCTGATAATCTAGCACAGGCATAGTAGTCCCCAATAGATTCAATGATTCCAGCCAGTGTAGCACTAAACATACCTAGAACACCAGCAATGGTAATTGAAGGCAATCCCCACTGACCTAGAAAACACAAGATAAGCATTAAATTTGTTATTAGCGTCAGTAACAGAATAAATAATTTATCAGAAAAAAAATGTGACTTAATTCAGCTGAGGCATACTATATGTAAATATTCCATAGCTTTGGCAGTCATTAAATCAGCTACAGAAATATATACCATAGCTGGCACTAAAGACCAAGCTATGGCAATTATTATTATTATTATTTTTAGTGTGTTTTGTGCCAGCAATTTGCAGACCTTTATAATTATTCATCTAAACAGTAAAATGTTAAGCCAAAAAAAAACTTCAGTAAACATATATATTAGAAGTGGTGAAATAAATCAAGTTTATTTTAAAAGATTACCATATTATTGGTGATTTATATTATATATCTCATGTAAAGGACACTGGGAATGTGTCCTGGATTGCAGGTACCTTTCCCTAATACAATATTTAGGTTGTGGTCCCTTTATGGGGGACAGTTGTAGAGACATTGCAGTCATTGCTTCAGCACAAAGAAATGAGGGTGTGCCATGTTGCCCCCCTGGACCTGACTGAGGGGTGGTTTGAATGTGACCTTTGGGTGAACCAGCTTTGTGGCCGAGAGCTTTTGGGCTAACACTTGTGGGTACCAGGGTACCAGGGTAGCTGGGGAGGTGGGTCCGGTAGCAAGAACCCTGAGGGTGGTGTGCATAAAAGGGGACACGGGAACACCAAGGAGCACCCAACTTGAAGTTGGGGTGGTACCTGACCATGATGTTAATATTGGAAGCGACTGGCCTCTATTTGTTGAACTTTGGGACTACATGAGCCAAGGACTCACGTAGTCCTGCTCTGTTCCGTCAGGGGTGTGCGGGAAATGGAACCTGACGTGAAGAGGCTGGCAGGCCTGGTAACAGGGACAGATCCGTGCGGGATGGATCGTCAGGGTAACGTAAGGTGTAGTCAGGCAGACCAGGTCAGCAACGTGCGGGCAGCGAGGTACCGGAGGAGCAGGAAGAGAATGGTCAGGGTCACGAGCCGGGTTCAGCAACTAACGGGCAGTGCGGTACAGAGGATTAGGCAGAAGAATGGTCAGGTCAAGCAGGAGACAATCAGCAGGGTCAAGATCAAAGCAAAGGTCGGCAACAGGAAGCTTCACAGGATCAGATAACAGGAACAGGACAAATAAAGATCAAATGGCAATTGACATACCTCCTGTCCCGTTTAAATAGCGCGCCCTGACCTGTCATTGGTACCAGGCGCGTGTCCGCGATCGCGTATGTGCGGCCGTCGCGATTGCCCAGGTCCCGTAGGCTAGAGTGTGTCAGTGTTCTGCGCATGCACCACCCGGCGCATTGCGGCAGAACAACCGGCCCCTGACAGATGTGCTGCGGTTTACCTTCACTGCAGGCGCAGCACAGTGCATCTGTGACGTTCCTGGGTTAGCTGCACTTTGCCATAGACTTCTATTTTATCCTGCAGGTGTGGTGCACTTTCTGAAAGTGCACCAAACCCACAGGATAAAATAGATATCTATGGCTAAACACAGCAAACCCACAGGAAAGCTGCAGGTACATTGCACTGCACCTGAGGTGTGGGTAAACCTCAGCACATCAGTGTGAAATCAGCCTTATACTAATATGCCCAATGTACAGTATATTTACTATCGCTGTTCTCTAGCTGGTCTAAAACCGCTCTTGACTTAAAGGGATGCTTTTTAGACACTAATGCTTTACATTGCTGAGGAGAGATGTGGGGTCTTAAAGAGGACCTGTCATTAATTATCAAAAAAGCATTGATCTCATGCTTTAAAAAAAAAAAAAAAAAAAAAAAAAGGAAAGGCCTTGTTTACAAGGCACTGGAACCGGCAGTGACATCGCTCCGGTCCTCCAAGAGATTAGTAGAGGCCATTGTTCGGTGGTTTTTCAGCTAATGCGGAGGACTACCGAGCGGCACCGGGTGGCGGCAGCGGTGGGCGGCGAGGGGGCAGCAGCAGCTGGTGGCTGTGTTATTTTCGGCACCTGTATCGGTGCTTATTTTCAGATCGGCCAATGGCCGATAGGGGTGCTTTTGGCCGAAACGTTTTGGCCACCAAAATTTTGGTTCACCCCTAACAGAAATCATTGAGAGCAAAGAATCACTGGTATCTTGGGTAGCTTACCAAGGGCCCTAGATCTTGAAAAACTTCCTCTGGAACCCCTTAGCTTCATATGTGAGTTTATAAAGGGGTAAATTTTGATTTATCAATTTTTTTCCATACACCAATAAGGTGAGAATAAGGTGCGAATCCAATTTAGAACAATCACCTTCCTGGCACAACAAAGGAGAAGCTGAAGGAAATGCTTGGTCACCGAGGAGACATCTAAGTCTTCAAAGATATCAAGGAGGCAGCACTTACATACTTATTCTTAATAAGGTACTTTAAAAAAGGTATTTGGATGTGTAGCCTACTTATAAAAAGCAATATTTTGTTATTGTTGGGATACATACTGTGTAGATATATATATATATATATATATATATATATATATATATATATATTCAAAAAGTTTCTGGTTTTTTTAAACTCTGTTATATACAGTATATAAAAGTGCGGCAACTTTTTGAGATATATACACACACACACTATATTGCCAAAGTATTGGGACCCCCTCCAAATCATTAAATTCAGGTGTTTCAATCACCTCCATGGCCACAGGTATATAAAGTCAAGCACATAGGCATGCAGGCTCCTTCTACAAACATTTGTGAAAGGAGCTCAGTGAGGAGTTCCATGAAAGGAGCTCAGTGAATTCAAGCATGGTACTGTGATAGCTTGCCACTTGTGCAATAAGTCCATCCGTGAAATTCCCTTGTTACTAAATATTCCATGGTCAACTGTTAGTGGTATTATAACAAAGTGGAAGCAACTGGGAACAGCAGCAACTCAGCCACGAAGTGGTAGGCCACGTAAAATGACAGAGTGGGGTCAGCACATGCTGAAACACAAAGTGTGCAGAAGTTGCCAACTGTCTGCAGAGTCAATAGCTAAAAAACTCCAAACTTCAAGTGGCCTTCAGATTAGCACAACAATAGTGCGTAGAGAACTTCATGGAATGGGTTTCCATGGCCGAGCAGCTGCATCCAAGCCTTACATGACCAAGTGCAATGCAAAGCATCAGATGCAGTTGTGTAAAGCATGCCGCCACTGGACTCTAGAGCAGTGAAGGCGTACTCTCTGGAATGACAAAACACGTTTCTCTGTCTGGCAATCCGATGGACGTGTCTGGATTTAGCAGTTGCCAGGAGAACGGTACTTGCTTGACTGCATTGTGTAAAGTGCCAAGTGTAAAGTTTGGTGGAGGGGGATTATGGTGTGGGGTTGTTTTTCAGGGGTTGGCCTTGGCCCTTAGTTCCAGTGAAGGGAACTCTTAAGGCATCTGCATACCAAAACAATTTCATGCTCCCAACTTTGTGGGAACAGTTTGGGGAAGGCTCCTGCCTCTTTCAACATGACTGCGCCCCAGTGCACAAAGTCCATAAAGACATGGATGAGCGAGTTTGGGGTGGAGGAACTTGACTGGCTTGCACAGAGTCCTGACCTCAACCTCACCTTTGGGATGAATTAGAGCGGAGACTGCGAGCCAGGCTTTCTCATCCGACATCAGTGACTGACCTCACAAAGAATGGTCATCAATGGCCCATCAGTGCTGCCAATCAGTGCCCATAATTGCTGCATATCAGTGCAGCAGCATCAGTGCCGCCTATCCGTGTCACCTCATCAGTGCTTCCTATCCGTTCCACCTCATCAGTGCTGCCTATCTGTGCCCATCAGTGCTGCCTATCAGTGCAGCCTCATCAACGCACATCAGTGAAGGAGAAAATTACCTGTTTACAAAATTTTATAATAGAAACAAAAGAAACTTTTTTTTTCAAATTGTTTGACTTTTTTTGTTTATAGTGCAAAAAATAAAACACCCAGTGGCGATTAAATACCACCAAAAGAAGGCTCTGTGTGAAAAAATTGTAAAACATTTCTTATGGGTACAATTGTGCATGACCATGCAATTGTCATTCAAAGTGCGACAGCGCTGAAAGCTGAAAATTGGCCTGGGGAGGAAGGGGGTATAAGTGCCCAGTAGGCAAGTGGTTAAAGTTCATGCGTGTGTAAAAGGCAGGCGTCCCAATACTTTTGCCAGTATAGTGTGTATATACTGTATATATATATCTATGTATATATATAACTGCTCAAAAGAAATTAAAGGTACACTTTTTAATCAAGAGTATAGCATCAAGTCAATCAAACTCCTGGGATATTGATCTGGTCAGTAACGTAGCAGAGGGGGTTGTTAATCAGTTTCAGCTTCTTTGGTGTTAATGAAATTAACAACATGTGCACTAGATGGGCAACAATGAGATGACCCGCAAAACAGGAATATTTTTACAAGTGAAAGCCACTGACATTTTTTCCCTACTCCATCTTTTCTGACTGTTTTTCACTAGTTTTACATTTGACTAGAGTCAGTGTCACTACTGGTAACACGAGGTGATACCTGGACCCTACAGAGATTGCACAGGCAGTCCAAATCCTCCAGAATGGCACATCACGAGCATGGAGGAGTTTGCAGGAGACAGGCAGTTACTCTAGGAGAGCTGGGCAGGGCTGTAGAAGGTCCTTAACCCATTAGCAGGACCGGTATCTGCTCCTTTCTGCAAGGAGGAACAGGATGAGCACTGCCAGAGCCATACGAAATGACTTTAAGCAGGCCACTGGTGTGAATGTCTCAGACCAAACAATCAGAAACAGACTTCATGAGGGTGCCCTGTGCTTACTGCCCGACACCATAGAGTTCGATTGGCATTTACCATAAACACCAGAATTGGCAGGTCCGCCACTGGCACCCTGTGCTTTTCACAGATAAGTGCAGGTTCACCCTGAGCACAGACCCTTGTCTGGAGAAGCCATGGAGAACGTTGTGCTGCCTGTAACATTGTTCAACACGACCAGTTTGGTGGTGGATCAGTGATGGTCTGGGGAGGCATATCCATGGAGGGACACACAGACCTCCAAAGGCTAGACAATGGCACCCTGACTGTCATTAGGTATCGGGATGAAATCCTTGGACCCATTTCCTTCTGGTGCAGTGGGTCCTTCCTGGTGCACGACAATACCTGTCCTCATGTGGCGAGAGTATGCAGGCAGTTCATGGAGGATGAAGGAATTGATACCACTGAATGGCCCCATGCTCACCTGACCTAAATCCAATAGAACAACTTTGGGATATCATGTTTTCTGTTCATCCGACACTGCCAGGTTGCACCGCAGACTGTCTAGGAGCGCAAGGATGCCCTGGTCCAGATCTGGGAGGAAATACCCCAGGACACCATCCGTTGTCTCATTAATAGCATGTGGGGCCATTTTGAGTTGCTGCAATGAAATTTCAGTAAAATGGACTAGCCTGCTGCATAATTTTTTCACTTTGATTTTTGGGACTTCTTTCATGGAAATGAAAATTATCAACCTACAGCGGACTGAATTCAAATGATGGGGCATTCTTACATTTCAAACACATGACAAGATCCTTTTCTCTAGTTCCCACAGCATCCACACGGGGCCTCCCAGTCCAAATCAGTATAGATATCCAGCATGATATGCTTTTTTTTCTCATTGAGATCTTATGTCTTTTCAAAGTGTTTCTTTAATTTTTTGAGCAGTGTGGGCCCAAACATATGTCCACATACATCCCACAACATCCACACACACACACACATACATATACACACACACTCTCCTGCCACTTTATTAGATACACCTTGCTAGCACGGTTGGACCCCCTTTTCCCTTCAGCACTGCCTTAGGTGTCTCTTTTTTTCATGGCAAGCCATTGCCCTTCCTTGAACAATGTGTTGGAAATATTTCTCAGAGCTTTGGTCCATATTGACATAAGCTATTGTTGCCTTTCTATCATCTCAAACCATTCTGGCCATTCAATTCCTCTTAGATCAAGGCATTTTCATCCACATAACTGCTGCTCACTGGATATTTTCTCAGCTTTTTTGGACCATACTCTGTAAACCCTAGATCTGGTTGTGCGTGAAAATCCCAGTAGATCAGCAGTTTTTTAAATACTCAGACCAGGCCATTTGGCACCAACAACCAAAGTCACTTAAATCCCCTTTCTTCCCCGTTCTGATGCTAGGTTTGAACTTCCGCAAGTTGTCTCCACCACATCTAGATGCCTAAATGCATTGAGTTGCTGCCATGTGATTGGCTGATTTAGCAATTTGTATTACCAAGCAGTTAAACAGGTGTATCTAATAAAGTGGCTGGTGAGTGTTTATATATGTGTATATCAATCTATCTACACATATACACACTATATTGCCAAAAGAATTGGGACAGCCCTCCAAATCATTGGATTCAGGTGTTGCAAACATCTCCATGGCCAAAGGTGTATAAAATCAAGCACATAGGCATGCAGACTCCTTCTACATACATTTGTGAAAGCATGGGTTGCTCTCAAGAGCTCAGTGAATTCAAGAGTGGTATCATGATAGGTTGCCACCTGTGCAATAAGTCCATCCGTGAAATTTCCTTGCTACTAAATATTCCACGGTCAACTATTAGGGGTATTATAACAAAGTGGAAGCAACTGGGAACAACAGCAGCAACTCAGCCACAAAGTAGTAAGCCATGTAAAATGACATAGTGGACTTAGCGCATGCTGAAGAGTCAATAGCCAAAGACCTCCAAACTTCATGTGGCCTTCAGATTAGCACAACAACAGTGCATAGATAGCTCCATGGAATGGGTTTTCATAGCTGAGCAGCTGCATCCAAGCCTTACATCACCAAGTGCAATGCAAAGCATTGGATGCAGTGGTTTAAAGAACACCGCTACTGGCCTCTAGAGCAGTGGGGATGAATTCTCTGGAGTGACGAATCATGCTTCTCTGTTTGGCAATCCGATAGATGTGTGTTGGTTTGGGGGTTGCCAGGAGAACAGTACTTGCCTGACTGCATTGTGCCAAGTGTAAAGTTTGGTGGAGGGAGGGAATATGGTGTGGGGTTGCTTTTCAGGGTTTGAGCTTGTCCCCTTAGTTCCAGTGAAGGGAACACTTAAGGCATTAGCATACCAAAACATTTTGGACAATTTCATGCTCCAAACTTTGTGGGAACAGTTTGGGGATGGTCCCCTCCTGTTCCAACGTGACTGCGACCCAGTGCACTAAGCAAGGTCCATAAAGACATGGATGAGCGAGTTAGGGATGGAGGAACTTGACTGGCCTGAGTCCTGACCTCAACTCGATAGAACAACTTTGGGATGAATTTAGAGTGGAGACTGCAAGCCAGGCCTTCTCATCCAACATCAGTGCATGACCTCACAAATGCGTTTCTGGAAGAATGGTCAAACATTCCCATAGACATGCTCCTAAACCTTGTGGACAGTCCAGAAGAGGTGAAGCTGTTTTAACTGCAAAGGGTGGGCCAACTCAATATTGAACCCTAAGGACTAAGATTGGCATGCCATTAAAGTGTTACTAAACCCACAAATGTAAAATCAGTCTCTATATGCAGCAAAGCATGCTTGTTATACTCACTGTGGAATCTAAGGGGTTAATCCTCTGTATTGTGTAAAAAGGCAGTTTGATCCTTTCTTCTCTGCCCCTCCTCTTGTTGAAATGACCACCTGATACAGACTGAACCCGTGGTCACATGCACATGCTCAGTTTGGTGTGTATTGCTAGAGAGGTTTTTATTTTTCTTGGGAGAGTGCAATGTGATCAGCACAGGGCCAATCAGCACTTTACAGACAGAGGGTCAAGGGTTTCACATCCTCCTAGAGCAGAAAGAAAACTCCTCCTACAAGCTTTAACCAGTGCTCTCCTGAAGTCACAAGACTGTTCTAACTGCTGATGAGAAAAAGTATTTAGCAGTTTATATTTACTAAAATAATTGCATTTCCATGTTGTGTGTGTACTGTGGGAGAACAGATATAGTGAACGCAGGGTCCTGGGTTTACCAACACTTTAAAGTTCATGTGCATGTAAAGGCAGGCTTCTCAATACTTTTGGCAATATAGTGTATCTATCTATCTATCTATCTATCTATCTATCTATCTATCTATCTATCTATCTATCTATCTATCTATCATCTATCTATCTATCTAAAGTCAGTCTTTTATTTCTCAAAAGTAAAACAACTGTAGCACAAAAACAAATTAAAACAGTCCAAACTCAAGGTACAAAATCAAATGTTTTATTCATTCTCTGGAAAATGTATCCCTTAAAAGGGTTCCTGTGCCCGCCTGTCTCAAAGACCCCAAAGACAAAGTCACCCACCATTTAGCAAAGTCTCAGTCTCACGCAGTCCACCATTCTGCCTCCTAAGTGTGTTCTACTTCACACTCCACCTTACAGAAAGCTGCTGACAGTTTCCTGTTCTTTTTCAGTCCCCAGCTCCACAGACAGGTCAACCCCTTCAGGACTCAAAGTTCCTGTAATCAGGGTTAAAGGCTCTTTCCCACCCAAAGTTTCTCCAAGCCTCCGAATTCTGGATCACATACAACCCTGGAAAACTGTAAATCATTTTCCCCTTTCTAACCGGAATCCTTCAGCCTGCATGTGTAGGCAGGTTGCCCACAGTGATTTAGTTAGGAAGTGGCTGTCTCAGGTTTGGAAAAGGTTAATGTTCTGCGCACTGTTCCTGGGCTTTTTGAATCCTGCCTATCTGCCCTGTAATATCAAGGAGGGGGAAGGCCAGGTATGAGGCTCTTCTCTCCGGGTCTGATTCATCCTGTTTCTTGAGATGCTGTAGCTGTCATGGAGCATTAAGAGGGGACTGCTGCACCCACCAGTCCATCGGAAGATATTGGTAGCCTGGAGAACTACAAGCCTTGGAGGATGCCACTGTGGACTACTACCTTGTTGAGGTACGCCTAGGCAGCCTTGTTGCGGTATATCGGAGATGTTGAATTGTAATTTTCTGGTTTGAAGCCGCTATGGAAGGTGTACTCGACAAGGCAGGCAGGGGAAGTAATGCAGTTGCTATTGGTAACCCAGATGTAGTGCAATGTACATTGCAGCCATTCATGAAGTTGTGACCTGGTGCAGGAGACAGGTCCTCTAATAGTGAGGAAGGTGGTGATATGGTTCCCTCCCCAGCACAGTTTCCCAAATCAACTAAGACTGAACCCGCATTACAGATACCCACAGCTTGGCCACATGGTACAGGAGAAAAGAAAGCGTTAAATGCATGCATGAATTCCATGCTAGGTGCACGGCGGGACCCCCTTCTGTCACTAGGTTTGAGGTGTCAGAGGTACACCAGACTGGTGGAGAGGGCATAGGCTCAGCAGCGTACCTCCTAAATGCAACCATTCACGGACAAGGTGTGTAGTGACACAGGACAGCATTCTGTAGAGGGAAATTAATTGCAGCACACAGTGTACGGCTCATCTCTAAGTTGGGGGCAGGGGCGGACTGACCATTTGAGCACCCGGGCACTGCTCGAGGGCTCGGGGTCAGTAGGGGGCCCCATGAGATGCCCCTGGTACCTTTCATTGGCTTTTTCATAGGCTTTTGTGGGTGCTGGTGAGGACACAGGGGCCCCATGATCCCCTATTGCCCGGGGGTCCCATGAGTTGTCAGTCCGCCCCTGGTCGGGGGACCGCCATAATGTTTGATTCTCACATGACCATGGTCCTCTCCTGGTACTGAGCATTGATGAGAGCACACACCTGCAAAAAGGTACCTACACGTGCAGTGTGAGTGGCCCTGCCCACAGGTGAGAACCCCTGAATGGACCAAAATCCAAATAACAGGGAAACTGTCAGGAACCATAAACCAGACAGAGACAGTAAGTGCAGTTAAAATCACACGTTTAATGAAATAGCAAAAATAACACAGATCAGGAATGTAGTGGAAACAGATGCCAGGGTTTGGATGCCAGAGCGGGTAGGCAGATGAGCCAGAGTCAAAAAAACAGAAGTCAGCATAGTCAGGAGCCAAAAATCAGGAACAGAAATCGGAAGAGAAGTCAGCCAGACTGAATTGTACACAGAAACACAGGCAAAAACACACTGGAGATAATAGATCACACAAAGGCAAGGAGGAACTGAGCTAAGATGCTAAAAAAGCAAAAAACACTGACTGTAGGATGGACTAATGAGGCAGCTAATGGTATCCAGGTGAGTCACTGTGGAGACAAACAAGTGGCTGGTAGTTAACCGACAGCTGAGCAGCTTCTGAGCACTGAAAGAAAAAAGCTGCTTATTAAGTAGCAGGAGCTCAGCCCTGACAGAAAGATATCTGGCTTCCAGGACCCATCTCTGGTTTCCTGTACCTTACCTTACCCCCTGTCTTGACATGGAGGTGTCAGAGGTACGGTTGAACACCCTATGGTGTACCCAAGAGAGTACATCAGTATTCTGGTGTTGCTCTTTAGGTCTGTGTTCCACCACAAATTTGAACTCTTATAATGCCAAGAACCATCTAGTAACCCATACAGTTGTAAGCTTGTTCTGTCTCATGTAGGTCAGCGGGGCATGGCTCAACAGCAAAAAACCCCCAAAACTTCCCGTCAAGGAGAAAAAAAAAGGAATCTAATGGCGAGGCACCCTTGCTCAACCACTGCGTAATTTCTCTCGCCGGCTGTCAATTTTCTACTAGGAAAGACTAAGGGGTGTTTCTCCCCACTGACCTCTTGGGACAGAATAGCTCCTAAGCCTTCACTGGAGGCATCATGTGTCTACAAGGCTGAGGGACAAATAACTCATTGACCACCTCACCCTGGAGTTTGGTAACTTGGCATAGTGAATCACTATTGGCCAAACAGTGCAGAAACCTTATTTTCCGCCTTAGGCACTTGTGATACCCCATTAGCCACTGTAATTTTTTCTCTGGTACTTGTAATGTGGGGTCCTGCATTTGGGTGGCACCAAATGCACCCCATGACCTCTTGGGTAACCATGCTACATGCATTGGTTATTGTCACTTGTTCCAGAAGTACTCTGTAGTGAGCCCATGTATAAATACCATCTGCAGGGTTATAGTTACCAGGTTCACTCTCCCAATCACCCCTGTTTAAACAAGTCCAGCAAGATCCAGACGTGAAGCTGGTTCATCCAGAGGTTACATTCAAACTGCCCCTTGGTCAGATCCAGATGGGTAGCCCAGATCCTCTGGGTGTAGTTGGACAGCCATCCATATATTTCTTCACTCCATGGGTTCCTCCTGCACGTGTAGCCTGGACATGGTCCCATTGTGACACTGCCAGCACAACACAGTCTCATTCCTTTGTGCCACAGCAGAACTCTGGGACACTGGGTTGGTCACTCCCTGACTTTCCTGAGAGCTGGTTCATGGATTTTGTGTTGGCTTTGTTTTCCACACTGGCAGGGCTCCTTGGGACTTGGAAGGTCCTTGCAGGTCGTCCACCACGGTGTACCATTCTACCATCTCCACCAGTCCATCGTCTGGGGTTTTTCAACACTGCAGCTCATTAGGTAGCAACCACATGTAATGGTCCATGATGACAAGGTGCATGAATGTAGTCCCTTTAGCTTCTCCGGCTATAACCACTGTATGCCCAGCTGTAGCAGGTTGTGCATTTGGAACTGGCCAGCACAATATCTCCAGCAATGCACCCAGCATACCCAGACAGTCCCCCCAAGGCGAGCTAAGGTGAGATCTCGCTTTTGAGTCCTGGGTATTGTAATTTGATTATATATATATATATATAGTATATATGTATTCTCACATTATTGAACAGACCAGCATAGGACTGGGCTAGATGTATTTTACACAACAAAAGCATAGCCAATGACTCTTTGCTTTGTTAATTTTATACATAGTTGCTAAGGAGTTTGTCCTCAAGTTCCTTAGGCATCCCACATACACCCCTCAACCCCATCTAAGTACAATAACCCTTAATAAAATCACAAAAAAAAAAAAAACAACAATCTCAAGGGCTGTTTACTGTCTCCAGAGCACAAGTGTGGAAGAAAATGCGTGTTGCCTGGCTGTGCAGGACTATAGG